GGCGTGTATTTCAATACTTGGAGTATGTATTATACTTTCTTGGACCGTGTGAGCTCGTTAAGGAAATATTGATAAATTTATATCGTGTACGGGAAACGAATGCAATACATTGGGAATTACCAATATGCAATAAAACTATTGTTTAAATCTTGTTGTTTAAAACTTTTTTTACCACCTATGAATCATTGGAAAATAACTTTATTATTGATCATTTGTATGAGAAATTCAATCTTTTTAAATATATGTTTGAGGGTTTTTCCAGATTTTATTAAGATGTGGCACTAAAAAAAGAAGTGGGTCTGATGAGATGGATGGATTTTATTGGATGTAAACACCAAGGATAACACACGAAAGTCTAAAGAAGACTTATTTCCAATGGGGTCGTCGTTCTGGTGGTGATTGGGCAGTACACCAGGAGACAATCCCCTACTCTTTTCTGAAGAGCGTACTAATTTCTTTAATGTGGACATGGGCCATAATGTCCTAAACATCTTATCCGAAAGATGGTGCTGTATCATAATTTGCATTTCAGCCCTCCGGCTGAAATACAAGGAAATTGAAATGGGGACCTAGAGATCTCCACGGTTCAGCGCACACACAGCACACAGTGGCTTCCACCAATTTAGCCGACTAAGCTAAGCTGCTCTCTAGAAATTTCTTTAATCCAACAAAAGATATTCAAGTTTTATTCTTAATTTTGAATCCTAATTTTTTCCAGATTCTCTCATAAATGAATTTGTAGTGTGTGTCCATGATGGAGACGTTGCAAGGGCTGGAGAAATTGCCCAACAATTAGCAGAAAATAAAGTTCCATTGGCTGTGAGCCAAGATGCAAACATGACAGATGTCTCCAAGAACGATAACCCAATTAAGTTAGTTTGTAAAAATATTTGCATAAATTTGTTTTATTTATTACGTAATCCAGCATCTCATTCAAGAGTACATATAGAGTACAACAGTCGTGTCGTCAGATCACCAGGTGGCGCCCTCTGGACATTGGCTACCGTTCAAGTACGCCTGAATGACTTCATAATCTTAATGGTTTAGAATAGGCTTTCTGGAATAGGCATTTTAAAACCTAATAATTTATCATCAAAATGTACTAAAAACACAAAAAGCTCGCATTATGTTATTTATCAAACACATATTTAATCACCAATTAACATTTTACGAAGAAAAATTAAGATAAAACTTCTTAATAATTACGTTAGAAATTGCGATTAATTGTTTGCCAGTGGAGAAAATGGCGTTTTTTGAACGCATTTTGTGTCGCCGGTAGTAACAGAGTAGTATCACATGGTATATGTGATGTAACACTTAGTACTCTATATGTGAAACAAAGCCTAGGATGGGAATTCTATTTCGGTTCTTCTTGAATTAGTCTCAGTATTTGCAACATTGACATCGCCGTTTCTCCTATTAGTGGTCCATCGTACTCTGACAGATGGGCCACACCAAATCCCCCCCCCCCAACCTCCACCATAATTGGTAGAAAAAAAAATAGGTAATGTCGCCTCTGGATGCCCAAAAATGGCATGCTCAGGCCATCTATCTCTTGTTAAGAAAATGTTCCAAATTAATTTTGTTCCACTGATAGACTTTACTTTAACTCCCTAACAGCTAACCCTGGGCCATGCTGCTTTCACCTCTGAAGAAGTGATGGGAGTTTTTTTTTTTTTTTTTATAAGGCGATACTTTTTTATACCTTGTTTAGTGAACCCGCAGCCTGCCAATAATAATGATTTCTAATAAAAATAAAATTTTATTTTTGGCCAATTAGCACACCTGCTGCCACGAAAAAATGGAAATTTTAGTTTCATTATGCTCACCGCTGCCTTGAAATCTCCAAAAATGAGATATTTCTTCCTAATCATATAAATTTAAGGCATTAAACATAAAATTACTACACTGTTTTACATTTTCCAATAAAATTTTATTTTAATTTCTCTTCCATCTGGATGTTTTTGGCAAAACTATTTGCTAAATAAGAAAACAAAATTTAATTTTTATTATATTTCCACCCTCCTCTAACGATCGTTAAAAAAATGTGTTTGTAAAACAAGGTATAGAAAAAGTCTCGCCTAATATCTCGTCATCATAAATATGTGGGATATGCTTTCTTATGCCCCCTGTGCACTTTTAATTATTAAATAAATATTGCGTGGGTTATTAATATAATTAGTTTGTATCATCATTTTTTTCTTAATAGTTTAAGAATTTCAGTTGAAGATCGTTACGACTCCTCAGCAAAAATAACATTGAGCGTGAAACCTTCAATAACATTCAAGACCCTCAAAGAGAAAGTAAGTTAAGAATTCATAGGTTTTGATACTTTTGGTTTCTGGTTTTAAAACCCTGATATTAATGAGTTGTACTTTCTGAAACGACAAGTAATCTGGGACTAGATGCCAAATATCTGTGATGGTGATATCACCAAGAATATGGATTGTGTCCTATTTAGATTTATGATTTGCATTTAACTTAATGTACTACAAAATAAAGTAATTTCATTAAGAAAAAAGTGTTCAACATAATTATCTCATACTCATTTTTATTTAATAGCTAATTTCTGTCTTTGGTCTTCATTTCAAATCAACATGAAGAAAATATGATTTTGTCAAAAATTTATTATCTTACTTTACCATGAAAGCAATTGGTTTAATAAATTTATTGTTAAATAAAATTTAAAAGCATTCTGTTCTGCCTGTTTTTACAGATGTATAAGCTTTATGGATTCCCACCGAAGGCTCAAAGATGGATTGTAGAAAAAAGAATTATGCGAGATCAGGAAACACTGAAGTCAGTGCATATTGACACGTCTGGGTTCATGGTGTACCTTTACTTAGTCAGTGCAAATACTGCTGCTGTTAAGAAAGATGAGGCAGAAAGGAAACCCAGTGAAAATCAAGGTTAGTTCCTGGGAATATGACACAATTTGCAGATATACTTTTTGATAAGTAAATAAAGTGTCATGTAACTTAGGAAAAAAATTATAAAAAAACATTTAATTTAAAAAAATTGACTTGTATATTTTAAAAAGATCTATAGGAAACCCCCCTTCCCATGAACTTGGTTACGGGCCTGCAGCAGTTTCTTATTTTCTTGAAATATTTTTGCTAGCCCAATAGTTTACTATGATGTCTTTTTTTACCTCATTTATAACTGTTTCCGGGACTTTAAACATCTGCAACCTTCACGCGCTTTTTAAAAACTGTTCTGTTCACAGAGGTTTATGTTGATCGCTTGCCGGATGACTTACCTTCACCGGGAGGTGCTGGCGTCCCTTACATGGGAGCTGCCGCTGCTGGTCCACCTCCAGCTAGACAATCAGGGCGACCACAGGCTAAAACACCACCAGTGAAGATGGAGGATGCCAGGAGGTTTGTTCACCAATACATGGACAATCCACTTCTAGTGTCATCTGCACCAAGTACAAAGAAGAAAACTGCACTTGAGGTGACTCTTTTATGTTTTTTTAAATATATCAAAAGGCAATACGTAAATCAGGGGTGGGCATAAAAATCGGTCGGAGGGCAAAGTAAATTTCTTATTTAACACCGAGGGCCGCACCCAAACTTTGGTCTTTCCAGTGCACTTCCAAAATTCTCCAAGCACTGCTTTTGCACCACTTTATTCCCAGTTGTTTATATTACTTTTTACATATGATACATACCGGGTCGTAAAAAACAAGGTGTTTTCTAGCCCATGTTAGTTGGAGGGCCACACACATAAGGTTTTTGATTCGTATTCGCAGGCCACAAAAAAAATCACTGGCGGGCCTCATGCGGCTCGGGGGCTGCACTTTGCCCTCCTGTGACGTCAATACTTCTATTAAAAACAGGAATTAAATTGTAGAAAAATTCTAAAGCCTGGTTTTGTTCAACAAAACATGTGACATGCCTAAATATGGTGAATATGGCATCACATTGTGACCATATATAGGCATATCATGACTATATATGGGCACATCATGACCATATATAGGCATATCATGACTGTATATGGGCATACAAAGTTTTTTGTCAAAACTTGATAGTCTGGACAGGGCTTTATGTAATTTTTTTTTGTTCAAGTGCCTTAGCGCAACACAAAAAATGTATTACAGTAGTGATCATAGTTAATCAACAGTTGGAAGTCAGTGTCGGTCGGATGGACATAATTATTTTTACTATAGGTATAGACCATTTTATCGGGTTTATTTTGAAACAGCGCTGCCAATATCTTGAAACTCATCGGGGCGACTTCCAGCAGCCTAGCCTAGCCTAAACAGCTAGCTAGTGTCAAATAGAGCACTGCGCGCACACTGGTAACTACATAGCATGAAGTGCGTAGGCCTCTGGAAGTCTCCCAGTGGTTGTTTGCCAGATTATCAAAAACTTTCATTTCAAGTTTCGCGAAAATGGTCTATAGGTTTTGTTTTTACCATTATTCACTCATGCATTATAGCTGGTGGCAAGAATCTGTGGTTAAGCTTCCAAATTTATAAATTTAAGCCTGAAAATTGCTATTATAATACATTATACAATTATAATATTTTTGTAAAAAAAAAACCCAATGCCTATAGTTTGAGGATTATTTGGGTCATTTAGGTTAAAGTAACACAAACATATTTTTTCCTAATATACATTTTTTAAAATTAATAATGAGAAAAGAATAATTTATGCAAGAGAGTATAATCAATATGCTGCAAAAAAATTAAAACTTTTACATATTGATTGATTATTAAAAATATCCTTCAGGTTGGTTGGAATTGTAATAGTTGTACAATGATCAATGCGCCACGCAGGCCTAGCTGTCACATGTGTACTTTGCCAAGACCCGATGATTATGTCCTACCACCGGTTGGTTCATATGTACTTGATCCTGTAGAGAAGAGACTAATTGATGAAGAGGAACAACACCAGGATGTCTTGAGACAAGTAAGTAACATGAATTCATCATCAGGTTATCGTTCCTTTCACGACTCTAAAAGATGTGAGGGAATTGGGTTAAGATGTCAGAGTTCTTCACTTCTGGACAAATGTTTATGTTGGTGATGATCTTGTGGAAAGGATCTGCAATTCTGGTGATAGTCTTGTGGCAGACATCTGCAACTTCTAACAATAGTTTTTGTGGCGGTATCAGTTATACTAAGGGTAGACGCCAACAAATTTTAACCACAGTTATCAGCTATTCTGGGTATATAGTGGCAGGTGCTAGTTACTTCTATCAGAATTTTTTGGCAACAGTCTGATTGAAGATGCTAGTCAATTTAAAGGCGGCTTAGAAATAAAAATGGCAGTTGAAGACTTCAGTCATTTGTAGTGAAAGAGTCTATGGCAAACATCAGGTAATTGTGGCACCGTCAGACCTAGATCTGGTATACCTGTTGACATGACATGTGTGCAGTGTGTGGTCCACCAAAATATATTAAAAATCCTGCGTGTGTGGCCCGCCTACCATCTTTGCCTAGAAAACGTCTGGTTCTCAAGAACCGACGCCGAATATATAAACCTTTGTAACGAAAATTAAATATCTTCAATAAAATTTGATGTTGATAACTTACTTGATTTGTTTTAATGAGCAATTAAATCTTTGAATAGAATGTTTGATATGTTTTTCTGGTTCAACAGTGATTTTAATCAATGAGTAAAACCGGGCACGCGATTCTATGGAGAACGTCATCAAGCGCTCACAGTGAGCTGAGTTGAATTTATTTGTCAACGGTCATATGACCGTCATGCGACGCAGCGATTACCCCGCTTTATAGTGAAATTTTAGTTTACAGTTAATGGTGTGGCAAAGGTCACGAATGGTTTCAATAAATAATAATAATAATAATAATAATAAAAATAATAATAATGGTAATATATTTGTGTTATAGCGCCCTATAAACATATCTCAGAGCACTGTTTTACAGTGAATAATGACGAATAAAATAGGTCTACACATCACCCCAAATCTAACGAATAGATCCTAATGCTAACCAAAGGACCAAAAATTAAAAATAGACTCGAGCAGAGGAATAAGAATACATGTTGTAAATTGTGGAAACTTGCAGTCGTACCTCCTCCCCAGATCCTTAACATGCACTACCATACAACACTCTTTTGAACTTGCTATGTCCATATAGATAGCCTAGCAAGATCACACAAGTATGAAAATAAACTGGATTTTTAATTAAATTAACACTCACAATTTATTTACATGCCCTTACTACCTATTTGGAGATTTTTTTAATACATCACATCATACAAACACGATCTTGCACATCAGACTAAAGGCTTGTTTATTTTCTAATTCTTTAGGCACCTGGTGATCTTCATGGGCCTGGGTTATTGAGAACACAGAGGGGAGGAGGAGACGGACTGAAGTTAGCATCTGATCCACCATCCATGCTATCGTCAATGCAAGTCAATAGCTTTGATTGATACATTCTGAAAAGCCGACTCAAAGAGACATTAAACAGAAAGCCTAGAAAGAGGAGAAAAAAATGTATATAAATAGATCGCATAGAAAAAATAATTCAAATATGAGGGCGGTTATAATTCTTACATTTGGACAAAAAAGGTTGAAAGGTTAAAGAAAAAAAGAAATGACTTAATGAAGGTTAAAATGCTAATTAATCATGATCTCATTGTCTTCATTTGGATTTTTTCTTTGGTTATTCAACATAATAAGTGCATTTATTAATAAATAAATAATAATTAGCAAATTAACATTATTTAAGGTCAGCCGTGACGTATTTAAAGTGGGTGACAAAATGGAATGTAATAAAATAAAATGTAAAAACTCTCACAGGAAACCTTTTAAATTTCAATATTATATATACATTGTTTTATTGCTGTCTTGTATATTAGCAGACTCTAATAGTATGGATAATATATGTTAGTGCTTGCGGTACAGCACATAAATATATTTACGTGGTATACCGCAAGCATTGATATATATTATTACTTCACCATGCCAACCTTCATATATAATATTCTGCATAGTAGCATAAAAATATAATAATGATAGGTTTGTATTTATATAGTGCAATTAATATGTTGTAGCTTCTATGCACTTTACATATGGAATATAATTGTATATGCTCAATAATTAATGGGAGCTAATCAATCAATCAATCATTCTATTTATATGGCGCCATTACAAAAGTTGTTGCTCGTGGTTGCTAAAATAGCCTAATACCTGTACTGTATAAACCTGGACCACTAGAGTGAAGAGCACTAGCACTAATTTTAACTAGCCTAAAATGTCATAACAAGAAAAACAAATAATTAAATATTTAAAGTATACACATTTTTCATAGTACCCGAGTTAAGTAGGGAATTTGGACCGGGCTCCTCTTCAGCAGAGACAATCCCCCAACTTTTTTCCGGAGAGTTTACTGCTGTTTTTAACATGCACATTGGACCAATGACCTTTCCGAATATTAGTGTGTTGTCCTATATTTTGCAGGAAAGCAACGGGATGGAATAGAACCGGGTACACAAAGATTACATAATTTAGTTGTACAAAATGTTGTTAGAAAATAGAATTACCGGTATATGCATAAATGCATGCATGTAGCATTGCACAAAATTCTTAGCATTTGGTTATTATATCCGATATGCTAGGCTACCTTTTTTTGAGGTGAGAAAAGCCAAAATGCTCCTTAGGTTTTGCCAGGTCAGCAGTTTATGTTCCTATATGCCGTACTGAAAAGCACTGTAAGCATTTCCAATACTTTGGGATTAATAGTATACTTAAATTTTGGCTGTATTGCATTGTATTTTGTTTATATTTCCGTAATAAATATACCTGAAATAATAAAGTTTTGAAGTTTTCATTGCTGTTGTATTATAGTTATCATTTTTGTTGATGACAGGCCAACTATATTTGAAATAATTTTAATGAAATAATTTGGTTTACATCATTCTCAAATTAGCACAAAAATGTGTGTGGGGTAGCTTTTTATTAACTCATTCAGATACAGTACAGGAAAAATACAGTGGGTGAGAAGAGTGAATAATTACAGGCAAATATAATTATTTTTTCAGTTGAAATCTGCAAAACCCAGTTGAAATCTGCAAAACCCTAATAAGGAAAAAGTTACAAAAAGAAAGTAACAAAATACGAAAATATAAATATTTTATGAATGATATCTGTTTATACTTGCAATTATAATTTATTATAATTTATTATACTTGCAATTATAATTATAATTTATATTTTTAAATTGATTCAATCTTTATAACTCACAATTTAAAAAAAAAGAAAGATAGAATAGATATTAAATAATTAATTCTTTGAAAATAGATAGAGGAAGAGGAAAGACAGCTGGCAGTTCTTAACTTTGAACGACTTCAAGAATATGACCAAATGGACTTGATCCCGAACAGCGAGCCATTTACATGCTTGATATGTTACGATGACTATGGTGCTGAAGAAGGTGTGACTCTGAGGGAGTGTCTTCATTCATTCTGCAGGTAAGGATGCCTTTTATATTTTTTAAGGACTAAATTAATTGAAAAATAATACTACACAGTAATATAAAATATAATAAATAAATGGTGAATTTTTAATTCAAGTGATTTAAATCATTTAAACAGAAAAGGTATATCAGACTTCTAAGCGCTTTATACAATGGGATTCATTGTTCAAAGCATTTAAAAAATGTCAAATGCAGAATACCAGGACAACATTACTGCAATATAATGGAATCTACTTGAATAAAATCTATTATAAAAAATAATAAGGCCAAAAAATACCTGTAAATTTACAATGAAAAATACTGAAACAGTCGGCCACAAGTTATCTAAAATTACTACCGTGGTCGTTCACTCTTTCATGCTCTATTTGCTTTAGAGGACAACTTCTTGTTACTCTCTTTTCTCCAACATCTTGTAGGGAGTGTCTGACAGGGCACATTTCTACAAATGAAGAGCCAGAGATAAGATGTCCATACATGGATGAAAACTTTGCTTGTGATGCTTTGATCCAGGACCGTGAAATTCGAGCAGTAAGCAGTAGTAGCAGTAGCCTATGCAACACGTTGATCATTTTTCAAACTAAACAGGCAGCCTTGTCTGCTGGGCAGGGAAGGGGATGGGTGCATGTAGGTCCCTTGTACAGGAGTCTAGGAAACTCTACTACCACTGGTGGGGGATAAAGCTATAAAAAAATATCACACAATGGGAGCTGAACATTGATGGTTGTTGGACTAAAATATGAATTTGTGTGACTGAAGTTCCAAACCATTAAATCTCTTCTTCTTGACGTCCACTAGATGTTTTACACTAGCACCATGACCAAAGGCCGTCCCTTGGTTCGAACATTTTGTCAAATTTGTTGGAACCCAAATTTCTAAATCCACCACTGCTTTGGGCCCAGATTTTCTTTAATATTTTTGTATTTTTACAATACCATGATATTTTGTTAAACTCAAAGACATTTGAAGTAGTTGTTGTTTTATTATCACTGTTTTCATCTGAATAAATGCCCTGGGGCATTTATTGTTGAGTAGAGTTTTTGAGGGGACTTATTAATCCCACCAAGGTTAGAAAAAATGGAATTCTACTGGAGTAGAATATTGAGAATGTTGAGAATGATGTTGCTTCCATTAGTTTTGCTAACAGTCATTTAGGGGGCGTTTGTTGGCTCTGGAGGGTGATTTATTTAATGTGGGGCGTTTATTGGAATAAATACGGTATGTTATTTAATAATAATTTTTTTTCTAAATCATTTCATCATCATCCATCTCTTTGTTTTCATCATCAGCTTGTTGATGACGAGCAATACCAGAAACATCTCCAGCGTTGCCTGTCAACTGCAGAGACCCAAGCTGCTAACAGTTTTCACTGCAAGACAGTGAACTGTCATGGTTGGTGCATCTATGAGGATGATGTTAACTTTTTCCCATGTCCGATTTGTAAGAAGAAGAACTGTTTGACTTGCAAGGCCATCCATGAGGGTATGAACTGCAAAGAGTATCAGGACTCTTTGAGGGCTGATGCTGCTAATGACCAAGCTGCAAGACAGACTCAGATGATGCTGGACGTGAGTTTGTGAATGTATTCTCCACACTTAATGATCTCTTTTATTTTCTGCTGGCACATTTATGAAACAGCCTTCCTATGACTGTGAAAGAGCTAGTGTCTGTCATCCGTTAAGAGCTGTCTTATCTCTTTCTATCGCTAAAGATTCATTAGATTCAGGGTGCGTATATTTCTTGTAATGTAATTTTGTTATATTGTACATATTTTATCTTCTATATTTTATAGGAACTTGTTAGGAAGGGAGATGCTATGCACTGTCCAAAATGCAAGATCATTGTACAAAAGAAGGACGGCTGTGATTGGGTGAGGTGTACTATGTGTAAGACAGAGATATGCTGGGTCACGAAAGGGCCTAGATGGGGTCCAAATGTAAGTTGAAGTTGTTTTAATTTTTTTTTTATACATCATTCGATATTTTTATCATTCAAAATTTTTTAGATTAAAGACATACAGTCTGTGCCAAATTCTGGAAAATCTTGCATATTTAAGTGAATCATCAAATGATGTATAAGTGTCCATTTACACAAATTAGAATAGTCCATTTTTTACTACAGTAATTCAAATTTTTACCTCAAAAAACCTGTTAATTGTTTATCAGCCAAATACAGGGTCTGTGAAAAAAATACATCAACACAGTATTATTTTTGCATCTGTTACTTTACTTGGGTCAGCATCACTGCCTTGGTGATGCAGGGTAATAGTCTGAGGCCAAAGGTGGAAACTGCTGGTGTGGAGTGTCTGCATACATGGCTATCATAGAGAATGATTGACGCAACACCCAAGTACGGCTCATGTAGTAACTGTTTATCAATCTCAGCTTAGCTAATGCCTTAAGTCAAAAAAGTTAAGATGTCCCTAAGCAAATATCCTTAAGCTGATTTATTAAACTATTTTAGGAAAATCTTAGCTTAAAAATCGTCTTAGCTGGCGCATGCGTACAATCGACTTTTAAATATTAAGCAATTTTTAAGCTAAGCAATATTGATAAATTTGACTTAAGCAAAAAAATGGACCTAAGAATTCAAGCTTATTTCTAGTTTGATAAATCTGGACCCTGGTTCTTATGGTAATAATGATAATTTGTAGTTATTAATTATGGAATAAATATGATATTTTTTACATTTTTTCTGCTGTTTTGTTTTTTCAAATAATTATGATTAAAGTTCTTGAATTCTTTATGTTTAGGGGAAAGGTGACAGAAGCGGTGGTTGTCATTGCCGAGAAAATGGACAGCTTTGTCGTCCTAATTGCCAGAATTGTCACTAACCGCACATTCAAGAACAACCTTAGTAAAACTTTGTTAAAATGACAAGTTTAATTTGGTTAATAGTAATATTAACTTTCAGTACACCATTATTGGTTCTAACAAGTTCTCGTAGTCTCGAACGCTCCGATGAGGGCAGTATAATAGAGGCAGTAGAGTATATTGGCCCTAACGGCCGCCCATACAAGAAAGATCTATTAATCAAGCAGCCGAGTGTTTCTAGAGCTCCTCATCGGAGCTGAAAAGTTATCTGAAACTTTTAATGTCATTATCTAACCATCATCAGGAGATTTACTGGATGTTAATAATATTATCAGCTGTTTACCTTCAAATATTTTAATTTGGTTAATTGTTAAAAGCTAAAGAATATTTAAACAAAATTTCTATTATAACTTTAATTATAAGTTTGTTTTTAGGCTCTTATAAGTACACCTGTACAGTACTTAAAATAAGTTATTATTGAAAGAAAATAAGATGATGTCGAATATTTTAGGCTCATGACCATGCTTTGAGCTTCCAGAAAAATTGTTACACTAGTTTTTTTTTTCATTGGGGCAGCTGGGGGTTGGGGTTGAAGGGGGATGCAGTCTTTTTGGGGGGAAATGCCTCTCCCGCGCCTGCCAGTAGATACGCCAATGTGGGCAACGTGATTTATTTATGCCTTTTTATGTATATAGGTGGCCTTAATGTATGGTTATGTTGTGAATGATTTGGAATTAAGGAATCTTTATTGTCGACAATACAACATGATAGAATCAAAATTTGGATCCAGGAGCTTATATAGGTACAATTGGTTAAATCAAAGAGTATAAATAGAACAAGAGAGCCAACAACGCTCATTGGGAGCGTAAAAAAACGATACGCTCTACGCAGCTAGTGTAAGACGCCAACTAACGCTTGTATATGTTTTATTACCCAGTACTGCACCTGTCTCTTATACACATCTAGATGTGTATAAGTACCCAGTACTGCACCGCGCACTGTAGGTTTGTCTGTTTATCTGTTCTCCACAAGATACTGTGCTTTTGTTTTCTGCTTACTGAGTTTATAGCGGGCGTACTTCTACCGCGCTACGCAGCGCTGCACTGGGTAATAAAAAGAATATACAACCGTTAGTTGGCGTCCTACACAGGCATGACGTTTTTACGAACGGGACTTTGCTCTCTTGTTCTATTTATACTCTTTGGTTAAATATACAAAAGATAAAAGTAAAAAATGTCTGTTATGTTACAAACATTAAACATACAATATATAAAAAACAAACAAAACAAAAAGAGCATGTAAAAATAAAGATACAGCGTATAGGAGTACCCGTAAATAAAATTGCGAGAAAGAAATTGTTGGAATGAAATTATAGCTAATAAATTATTCATGATTTTCACAAATCTAAAGATTTACTGTCGTACACAGTGGTGTAACACCAGTGTTCTCTCGGTTGCACATTTCTTAGGCTTCCAGTCCAAAAGGAGGCCTCAGAGAGCCCCTCTACCCAGCACTCTACTTTACACAACTTACTTGTCCCAGCCCCTGTGTGCAAGATGGTAGTGTAGGAAGACACTAAAATCTAAGTAAATGTACAATATTAATTGCCAATTTTAATTCACAATTTTTAAAGTAACTGAAATCTGATGGCTTCATGACAGTTATACTTCAATACAGCCTACCAAAGATTCCTCGGCAGAACCACACTGCAAAGTGATTGGACCTAAACGATAAAGAATATACAAACTAACTTACCGTACGACATTTTTGATTGCATAAGCCTACAGTTGTTGATTTATTACGCCAATCAGTGACATTTAACTATTAGTTTTTGCTATTACTGTAGGCTTAATGCTGGTTTATTGAGAAAAACAATCAAGTTTGCTTTAAGCATATTAGACGACCCTAAGAAATGATTGATACACAAATCAAGTCTTTCTTTTGATAAGTAGACATAAAATAAAAATATAAACGTGGGTGTATGTTTTGGTGTTCAATTTTTGTGTTGTGTTAAAAACGATTGAGATATTGTTTATATGCTTTTATCGGCAGAGCTTCAACTTGGCTTCGATTTATAGGTTACACCAAAATATTATTAATCATGTAACCTATACGTATAATGGCGATGCACGGTAACGAGAAAGTAGGCCCCTAAGCATGCATGTTTTAATTTATGGGTCGGAATATATAAATTTCATTTTATTGTTGAATAGTCAAATCCAATTGCATGTTAACAGTATACCACCACGTAGATAGTTCTGAAAGATCTGTTATTTCTGTTGGGAATGTCTCGACGTTTCGATTAAGTTGCTTCAATCGTCATGAGGAGAATAATATCTGCAGAGAGTCTTGCAAATGCCACTGCCAAGTTTCCCCACGGGAGAAGCTCACCCAGGGCAGTGGATCTCTTGTAGTCCTAGGACACAACACCACGATTGAATCAATGTTGAATAAATAACAGAAACGCTATAATATAAGTTTTCCTTTTAATGAATTAATTTATTTATTTCGATTTATTTTGACCTTTATAATAGATAAGCATACATTCAGAATAATATTGTACTTGATAATTTTATAAATAATAAATTTTAAAAAGGTGCGTGATTGTTATAATGAATTTATGTCGCATGCGTTCTTCTTTGTCAAGAAATGTCTTTGGCAATGTATGAATACAATAATTACGACAAACCAATTATACATGAACATTAGATGCGCAACCATAAATGATGGATTAGAAGTTAGATCACAAAATATATCCCTACGAATTGAGACTGTTCATGTTTCGTTTGTATTGCATACAATAAAAACGAATATTTTAACAATTGTTATTAATTATTTATAAAAAAACATTTGATTTGGTGGGTAATTTTTCATTTTACATCTAAAATCATCACATATACGCCCTAGCCCCTTAAGATGACTGTAGGAATACACTAAAGCATTAACAAAATACACAATAATTCAAGGGTTTAACTCGCATGTTAAGGTAACTGAAATTTTATCGGTCCAATGACAACTTCAATACCAAAAGTTTTCCACAAAATTATTTCTTTAACCTCATACCAATTGTGTACTGTATAGGCCCTGTCTCTTATACACATCTAGATGTGTATAAGAGACAGCGAACGCTCCGATGAGGGCAGTATAATAGA